CCTCAAGGGTGTCCACAGCTCCTCCTAGTTTAGTATACTTGGCAAACTTACTTGATGTACATTTGATTCCTACATCCTTATAATGTATAAAATCATTAAAGAGCACTGGCCGCCAGCCTGACGTGACCCCATTTACTATAACTCTTTGAGCCCGACCCATCAGCCAGTTGCTCATCCAATGTGTTAGGGACTTGTCTAGCTGCGCGCTGGACGTTTTGTCCAGAAGCGTACTGTCAGAGACAGTATCAAAAGCTTTGCTAAAATAAAAAAAAAAACCACATCTGCTGGCTTCTCTTGGTCAACTAGAAGGGTGACCCTGTCATAAAAGGAGATGGAAGTTAGCTAAGGAGGATCTTCCCCTCGTGAACCCGTGATGAAGAGACAGTCAGCTCTGCAGAGCAGGATCCAGCTGGCAGAGGGACGCCTCGGAGGGCAGCAGGGTTTCAGGAAGCAGAAACCAAAACGGGGACTCTTCCTTCCCTGGTGTCGCCTCCTCTCAGAACCCCCTCTTCTTCCCCAGCTCCCATGGGCTACAGGACCTCCATACCCCGTCCGCCTCCTTCTAGAATCACATGCTCATGCTTCTCTTTATACATTTACATGAAGCCTAATGTGAAAGCCTCTGGGACTTCAGTGTGTTTCAGAGGAGCCTGTGCAGGGAAGCGGTGCTGTGTCACTGCTGGTGTAAATGCTGTATGGAGCGGCTGAGTACGCCCCGTGCTGCTGGGAACCGCGTGTTTCCCTCTGCTGCCTGTAGACCTTGATAGAAATCGGCGTCCCTAGGATAAAACCTGTGGTATTGGTAGCAAAAAGAAATCAGTACTGTGTCAAGTGCAAGTGGAAGGTTGTGCCTGGGGGTTTGCAACATGCGGGGTCGTAGAATCACAGAAGGGTTTGGGTGGGAAGGGACCTTTAAAGAGCTTCCCCCCGATCAGGGTGGTCACAGCCCCGTCCAGCCTGGCCTTGGATGTTTCCAGGGATGGGGCATCCACCACCTCTCGGGGCAACCTGGGCCAGTGTCTCACCACCCTCAGCGTAAAACATTTCTTCCTTCCATCCAGTCTGAATCTCCCCTCTTTCAGTTTAAAACCAGTAGACACTGAATGTTTAGTTGCAGCTAGCTTGACTAAGCTGCTCTTTCTCATTTTTACCTTTCTCAGTACATAGTTGTTTGAGGATTTGCTAATTAGTAAACCGTAAAAAAAAAATCTGCTTGAATCATGTTTTTGGGTTTTGTGTAGCACTTAAACCCCTGCTTATTTACGTCTGTTCTCTTACACGCACCCACACTTTTTTTTAAGTACCTGTGTTTTGCTACCTGTTGAAAAAGGGGTTTCCACATTGAGTTGTAATTCTGATGGAAAGTTTTGCTACTTGACAGTTTGATACCTGATCTGCCCCATCTCTATGATCACAGTCCTATTTTTTTAACAAAGTTATTTTCTTCTTAGCCCTTATATCTTTGTATTCAATGTTATGCGTACTGTCCTAAAAGAGTGCAGCTGTGCTGGGGGTTCCTATGCGGAGGCTCTCCTGTATCGTGTATTGCCAGGCAAATGATAGCTATAAGATTTTGAACTTCATCTTCCCACCCCTTTTTTCCCCCCCCCCTCTTCCCCATTCAAATTAAATAAAGGTTGTCAAGGTTCTTTTTTTTTTCCCTTAAATATCGATGCAGCTCATCTTTTCCCTTTGTGAAACCTGGGCCACAATTCCTTCTAACATTACCTTAAGTTCTCATGTCCAGCCCTGGTGCGGGCGAAGCATTGCGGAGTTAATTCGCCGGTTCTTTTGAATTCAGTAGTATCTCCGGTTCTCTTCCAGTAACTCGTCACAACCACCTGAAGGACTTCATGCTGGTGGTGTCCATCGTCATCGGAGTGGGTGGCTGCTGGTTCGCCTACATCCAGAATCGCTATTCAAAGGAGCACATGAAGAAGATGATGAAAGACCTCGAGGGACTCCACAGAGCTGAACAGTCTCTCCATGACCTTCAAGAAAGGTAGGTTTTATGCGTCCACCCAGCTGGAGCATTCAACTGTTGATCGTTTCTGCAAGGTTATTCCTCATTTAGATCTCAGGAAAGATTTTCTTTTTAGCTGTCGTGCTTCTGTGCAGCAGTCACCTGGTGCTGTGTACCAGAGTCAGCACCGTCCTGAGCGACCGTAGCAAACCTGCCAACCCGTCTTAACAGCTCGAATGGGTGCCTGGCTCGTTACCAGGCTACGCAGAAAGATGCATGCGTGCTCACTTGACCTGCTCTTCGGTGGTGACGTGCTAGTTATTTGTACTTGCGGTGTGCCACGGGAAGGCCTGGGTGGTGAAAACTCCCTCGCCTTAATATAGTCCTGAAACGTGGCAGTGAAGCCGCTCGAGCAAAGTGACAGCATCCAACACCAGCATCTCCCGCTCCGAGGTGGGCTCCAGTGCATGCTGGCGCATAGTCAAGCGTGGCTGTACGTGCTCCCGTGCAGTTTTGTTCCCTCTCCGTGCTGTTTTTATCTTGTGTTTTGTCTGTTTAGTTCTGGCTCTTCTCTAATGGTCATCACAGGTTCCAAAAAATAGTTTCTGAATTTCTGGGAAGCCTTGACTCTGTTTAGTTTTGCTGCTGTTGGTGTGTGGGAGCACTTCTCTGCTTTAAGGAGCAAAACATCCAACTGAGCAGAACGGCTGAGAGCGCTCCTGTGCTCAACAGTGGTCTCCCTTCATTTTGAGTGCGTTGTCTTATTTCAAATAGGTACTTCCTCTTTATTTACCAGATTTAATTATATAGGAGCAGTGAAACGTACAGTGGTTTCTACTCCCGGTCTGACTCATACTGAAAGTATATCAGGATCCCCACCCCCTGACGTTACAGTGTAAATCTGGTAGCTAGAGGGGGAGAAGAGCCTCTCAAAGGAGCGTAAGGCAATCCAGCTCACTTGGAGTTTGTCATCCAGGCTGATCAGGTTGTTTCACCCTGGCTTTTGATGGGGAAAAAGCGTGCTGAAACAGCGGAAGCAACCAGAGGAATGACAACCCTCTTGAACCTTTGAGCTCTATGTAGAAGTCCGTGCTTCCCTGCCTGCACAGCGATGCCTAAGTCCAGGAGTGTTGTCTGGGAAGAATGAAAAAAATAATTTTGGAGTATTACATATGAATGGTTGAGCTCTAGGCACTTGGGCAAAACACTGGAGCTTCAGGAATGTGACCTCTACTCACAGAAAAGTTTGTAATGGTTCCAGTAAAACTGCTCATCGGAGAACGGGCTGCAAAAGAGGCCCTCTGCAGACACAGGAGTCTTCTAGGAAAGAAAAGAGCATTCAAGACTGTCGGTGACAAACCAGTGGGGTTTTTTGGCAATAAGATTTTTTAAGGGCAGATTTAGCAAATAATAGAGCATGATGGTCTTGGACTGTAACTATTTTTTCATTAGTTTTAAGTGTAATTTGGAGGATAAACCTTAATTTGCCTGCCATATAAGCTGACGGCTATGTTCCCATTGGCTTCTCCGAAAGCGGAGCCCGGCCCCAGGTACGCGTGCTGGCCGCTCGCGGGTGGCGTGACGCACGACCTGTGCGAACGCCGGGACCCCGAGGCTGTCGGTCTGCCGTGGAGACTTCTGCAAGCAGCTGAGTTTTTGGAAACCGTACGACGTACCACAAGACCACAGCCTGGTTTCTTGCCTACGTGCTCGTGACAGCCGTCAGGGAATTGTCCCGCATGTGAGCGTTGCTCGAAAGCCTTTCTTCTTCGAGTGTGATCGCATCAGTTGGTGTCTATGTGGAGGGCAAACACTTGAGAGAGCACCAAGGTGATGGTGCCAGACTGGGCACGTTCCCCTGGCAGTAATGCGGATACATGACCTGCTTTCTTTTTGGCATAGAGATAGAATAAAGTGCGTTTCCCCTCCGCCTGCCATGGAGCCGGCTCCAGTCCACAGCTGGTTTCGCAGAGCTTTGTGTAATTTTACACTACAGTTGGAAATACCCCAGAGAAAAAGATGTTTTTTTTCTACGGCCAGAAGGACACAGGAATTCCTTCTCAACGTCCATCTCTTGGAGCAGCAGAGCCATGTCCAGGGCGGGAGGCCTCTGCTGGGTGTCACTGAAGAGCAGGTCACACCAGAGGTCCAAACGCCGGCTGCTGTGAATGTGCCGTGTGGGGAACGACCTTGGGATCTGCTGCCGAGGGCAGAGCCACGTAAACAAGTAGATGTGCCTGGGAAGTTTAACTAATGCTCTAAAGCCAGACAGGAAGAAACACAAAACCATGTATGCTAAGCATAGCTTGAGTCTTAACCCAGAGCAGCTTGTGATGTTTCTGCAGGGTGTGCAGCTTGTCCTCCGCAAAGGGCACTGAGCCGGAGCTCAAGGGGTGGGAGGTGGCCCTTGTGGGGCTTCTTGGCAGAGGATTGATCTAATTCTCCTCTGAAAGGGGGAATACGCCTTTGCTGCTTCCTCCTTACGCCCCAGCAAGGTTCAGCTGTGGTCCTCAGCCACTGTAGAAATGGCAAAAATTACCAACAGCACGTTCCCATGGACTCTTTCTGAAGTTCTGCTCAGAAACTTCTTTTCTAGAGCTTGAAGTGACCTCCTTTCCTGGCTCATCGAAATTCCGTGCTGAACAGACCTCCGGAAGGCATGTGACGCCTTTCCAGTTGCCTGCCAGCTGCTAGCACTGTTATTTGATGAACAACTTCAAGAGCTGGTAAGGGAAGATTGATACAAAAAACCATTTTTTGTTCATCTTCAAAACACCTTTTGAGCACATCCTTCAACAGTGACACTTTCAGTCAAGTAAATGACCCATCAAGATAAAAATGTTCATCTCTTAGCACATCCTACCGATGGCTGAGCATCCGTTTTGAAGATCTACTGATTGTATTGAAGATCTGCTCCTGAATTGTGAAGCCCCCAGCCGGGTCTCGATTTCTTGTCCTCGTTGCAAGTGCAGCTCTGAAGGCACTTTGTCGTCTTGTGGAACTCAGTGCACGTGAAACCAGCGTGGCTCAATCGGCTGGGTTCGAACGGGAATGCACGGACAAAACGTGGTTTTGTCCATAACCAACATAAAAAAGTCTGGGCTCTGCTGTCAGGAAAAAAATGGTAGTAAGGGAAAATTAGATGTTAGATGTTAGAGTGCCTTCGAGAATTATCTTAAGGATAAAATTCCTTCCCATTCTGCGTCATAGTACAGGGGAATTTCTCCTTTTAACAGAGATATTTTGGTGGTTTGGGATTCTTACGGCCCTAGTATGGAAGAGCTTCAGCACTGATGCACAGGGCAGAGAGCGTGGGTTTATCTAAAAACTTGGAATGTCTTGGCAAGAGTCTCTTTAAATTGGGAAGAAAAACACTTGAGTTTCTGAACAGAGCTGTAAAATGAAAATGAGCCTTTTCCAAGAAGAGAGCCAACATCACGGCTGATGAGAGTCCAGCCTGTCCAATCTGTTCTCGATGGCCATCTGCATGCCGAGGAGGAGCCTGAGGAAGAGGAGTCCTTGGCTGGGACAGCGAGCGGCTTCGGTCTTGACCCGAAAGGTAGCGATGGGTCCCTGCTGCGAGTCTGCGCGCGGGCTGCGCTCCCTCTCGCCAAGAGCACAACCAAGTGCTGGCCTTCGATACAAGGCTGGAAGCTGGACACCTCTGCGTGCGCTGCAGGGAGCAGCGTTTGGAGCGACTGAGGATCAGGTTTTTCCTTTCTGTTAGTCCCCAGCTGGTCCGGGATGAGCGGGAGCTGTGCGGGGAGCCCAGGAGTGCCCTCCGAGATGTGCCTTTTGTCATTTGCAGGAGAGGGACAGCACACCCGGAGCCAGACCCGGTTTGGGTGGGGAGCAGAGCTTTGCTTCTCATGGCAGAACACCCGAGTTTCCTCAGTTTGGTCTGGGTTAAAAACAGCGTTGCCTCTGCTGCTCTTACAGTGTGGCTTTGTCCAGCTTTTATTGATTTGTCTCAGACTGTGATAACAGAGACTTTTGAAAGAGAAGTTCGTGTTGAAAAGGTGGGACTGTTAGGTTGATGCACCTGGTTCCTGACAGCGTAAGCTGCAACGCTTCACTGCGTTCGATCCAGTCGCTGAAGTACCTGTTCTGGAAACTCGTCACATCTTGATTTGAGGTTATCCAAAGATAGAGGTACCACATTCCTCAGAAATTTGATCCAGGATTTAATTGTTGCCATCATTTAAGAAAAAGTGGTTTTCATTTGAATTATTTGGCTGGTTCTCGCAAAGGAAGAAGCCCGTTATTACTCTCATTTCTTTCAGTGGTAGTACTTGTTCAACATGATTTTTCAGAACCTTCATTATGAAGTGAACCTCTTAATTTCATTTCAACTGAATATTTGCCAGATCTGTTTTTCCCCTTGTACTTGGCAATCGCTGTGTCTCTAGAAGCACATGGGTTTGGGACTGTATTGAAGAGGCACTGCTGGCACTGGAGGTTGGTTGGGTGGCGACAACCAGAGATTTCACCACCGCTTTTCGGGACAGCTCAGTCCCGCATGGGCCAGGTTCATTCTTGATGCTCATTTGATTTCACCGAACTTGTGCGAGGATTGGGTTTGCACTAGTGCAACTCCCCTGAAATGCAAATGTCGTGGAAACCCTGAAACATCTCGCTGTGCCTGCGGTGGTGCCTCCTTCAGAGGCCGAGGGTTTCCAGGCTGAATGGTTGAACCTTCCTGAATGAGTACAAGTAATCTGCTATTACTTTTTGTTGCCATGTATAATTCCTG